TGAATGGCGATCCAGCTTTGTATATAATTATTTTCCTCAAATGGAAACTGTCCTCTCTCCCACTACTATAAACAGGCGCCTAATATAATTCTTCCCCAGAAAAGCAACTGATTTATCATCAGAAAAAATGGGAAATCAGAGCAGAAGCACTTGTCTTGCTGTTTACGCCATTCCTTTGCTTCTGCTCGTCCTCTTGTCGTTGGCTGAAGACAAGATGGCGATGGTTGAAGCTGCCAGAGTTCCATCAGCTGACACCATTATGGGTCAGTACTATTTCACACATATGTTATCCGGCGTTTTAATTTATCAGATGTGTAATTGATTATAATTATAAGAGTAGTTGGTGGTTTGATTTGGTGCATGGCAGTGGGGAAGAGTAGTACTACTACTACAACCAGTGATGGGCTGGTAAGGAGGATATTAATGGCGGTGGTGAGCAAGTCTGGTTTTTCGCTTAGGGCAAAAGTACCAAGAGGCAGCACAAATCGTCTCCCTTGGCAGCCAAGATGTTGCTAGCTAGCTTTTTGATACATTAATTTTTGGAGAACTTCATTTCCAATCGTTTCAAGAACTCATAATATGTATCGCCCGCCCGCCTTCAACGTGTTTTGCCTTCAATGGATAAAGTCATTCTTGAACTACCCACCTGTACGTTTTCGATTGTGGTTTGACTTTTAGTTTGTTTAAATGTATGCAATATTGTACCTCTCTGTTTATTTTGCGATCTCCTGGTTTCTTCTGTGATTTTACTAATGAAATTATTCGTTCTTGCTGAAGAAGTCTGTTCTACATTATATGTTTTCCCCATTATGTAATTAATTTATTTTTTAAACTGCAACTCACATAGTCTAGGTACAAAATAAAGGATTGATGATAATAATTATTACTAATTAATTAATTAATGACGCAAGTACTATTTACTAGGGGTGGCTATTTGGACCGGGACCGGATTAAAAACCGGAAACCGGACCGTATAACCCGGACCGAGACCGGACCGGGACCGGATAGTAAACAATCCAATCCAATCTTTGGGCTTAGATTTGAGGTAAAAAACCGGATAATGACCGGATAAGAGAGCTCAACACCCAAAACTTAAGGGTAATTTTCATAAACGGTCACAAACCTTTGCACTTAGTCAAAACTTAACCAACTCCTCACCCTTTAAGGCCTTAGGCCACTCAAATCCCACAATCTCAATGTAAAATCAAGACCGAATTGGGACCGGACCGGATCAAAACCGGACCGGATCAAGACCGGACCATTTCCAATCCAATCTTCGATACTTATATTTTCAAAAAGACCGGACTGGACCGGATCAATTTGGGCCAATTTAACCGGACCGGACCGTATAGCCACCCCTACTATTTACTGTTCCTCACGAAAATATCTCCCCAACTTACAGTTCATTAGTCTTTTGCTTAGGTGCGATCGAACCCACCAAAACTTTTGGCCCTCCTTTCTTTATTCTTAGATCATTTTTTACCACGCATTATTCCGATTCTCTTTTCCTTCTTCTTGGAGCATTTTTTTCCCCTAATCATCCATTGTTATCAGAATCATCAAATTCACCCTATCATTTAGTCAAGCAATTCGGACAAAAAAATTGCCTATGAGAGACCAGACCAGCAGATAGTTTACCGTATAAAATAGTTGAACCAAAGTTAAATTATGGTCTCAACACAAAATACCATGTTACGGACCTTTTCTGTATAACTTCCAGTACGATTTTAAAATCTATAATTTATAGAAGGGTATATATTTCTTATGACGCTTTTCCGGTATAACCTTCATTATGATTTTACAATCCTTCATTTACAGAAGGATAGATATTTCTTAGGTATAAACAAACTAATTAACTAATAGCGCAAGTACTATTTATTTAGTATTTATTGTTTCTCACAAAAATTTCTCCCCAACTTACTGTTCATTAGTGTTTTGCTTAGGTGCGGCCAAACTCACCAAAACTTCTGGCCCTCCTTTCCTTCTTCTTAGACCATTTGTTTTACCACCCATTATTCCGATTCTCTTTTCCTTCTTCTTGGAGCATTTTTTTATAACCAGACATTATTATCATAATCAACAAATTCATCCTATCATTTAGTCAAGCAATTCGGACAAAATAACTGCCTATGAGAGATCAGACCAGCAGATAGTTTCAACAGTATAAAATGGTTGAACCATAGGTAAACTATAATTTTAACACAAAATACCCTATTACTGACCTTTCCCATATAACTTTCTGTACGATTTTAAAATCTACAATTTATAGAAGGATAGATATTTCTTTCTTATAAGACTTTTTTTTGTTTAACCTCCATTACAATTTTACAACCCTTCATTTACAGAAGAATAGATATTTCTTATGTATAAACAAACTAATTACGTATATCCATCATAGTATAAGTTTGAACAAATCAAAATTCTTTATAATTAACTTAATTGTTTACCATCTCATTGATTTGTTTTACACAAAGGACTACAATGGTAGTTACTCTTTACATAATAGTTGAATAACCTGTTATGTTTTGTAGCTTAATTTCTATGTTATAAACTAAAACTCCTTTATTATAAACTAAAATATACATCATCTCACCAATTTACATTGAACAAAGATTTCATAAGGTCAATTAACTTTTATAAAGCAGTTTAATAAGGTGTGATTCTACCAATTACAAATAGTTACATTAAGTAAAACTTATAGAGGGATAATTATTTCTTATTGTATCAATTAAACAAACTTATTTTTTAATTCTTCTTTATTGATTAATACAATACATAAAGCTTATGGATGAATAATTATTTCTGATATAACTATTAAAAAATACATTATGTGAGTCTTTCGTAATATAAGTTTGAACAAAAATTCATTTGTTATTGACTAAACCATTGATCATCTTATTAATTTATATTGCATAAAGGTTCTGCAATGTTATATGCATTTTTTTTGCCAACATAAAAATCAAGTTAATATAAGTTTGAATGAACATTTCTTTCTTATTTATAAATTGTTGACCATCTCATCAATTTGGCTACACAAAGTTCCGTAATGTAATTTTTTTTACCCAACAGTCTAATCAAATGCAAAGTCATTTAACTTTTACATAATAGTTTGAAAGAGATGTGATCCTTTCAATAACTTGATTTTATTATTAGACCACACATTACTTATGATTACACAAAAAATTATATAGAAATTATGTAAATTACAAATACACAAGAAAAAATTATGGGTCTTCATACTGGGGGAAGTTCGCCAGAGTGGATTTGCCGGCGTTCTCAGTACCAGATTCAGATCCAGATTTGGCTATGTCATCTCCAGACCCAGTGTCCATCGTCTTTGGTTAGGGTAAGAAGAGTGAAAAGAGGGGAAGTGGGGTAGTGGTGACGATCTAAGTTGACGATCTAGGAAAGAAACGTAAAAAAATAGAAGGGGGACTGAAACCCTAGTATTGAGGGCAACCATGCTCTGAAACCATGAGAAGAATCAGAGTTTGGGGGAAAATGTTCGTTAGAGCTTTCCATTGATTCTGAATCAGCTTATATACAAGCAACTAATTACACTTAACGGTAACTAAAACTAACAAATGAAATGGACCTATAGCTGTTGTACACGTGTAAACTATACAGTAAAAACGGAAATAAGGCTGTTAGCCAAAACGGTGCACTTCACTTCCATTCTTCTTCTTCGTAAACGTCATCATTTGAGGCTCTGCATTCTTCTTTGTTCTTCGTTCTTCATCAACAGCAGAGCCTCCATTCTTCTTGACAGCAAGGCTACAAGATGGATCATCGATCCTCTCTGTTACATACTCACAAGATAATATGTTCTAAATGAACTGTTAATATTAAAGACCGTGAAAAACTTGAACATGTAACATCCCAATCATATCAAATCTGATACCATGTAATAAATTAACTATTCGAGTTTTCGGAGAAATCGTTGTGTGGTACTTGAAATATGTTTGTCACCTCTTTTTTATAGGTGGAGGAGCTCACTAAGCTGATTGAGGAGAAGGAGAAAGAGAAGGAGAACCAGAAGCTGAAGGAGGAAAGGAAGAAGCAAGACGACGAGAGCATTTCGCTTGAGGAGCTGCTGAAGGAGAAGGATGAACTGATTCAGCAGCAGAACAAGGATCTGGAAGAGAGGGATAATGAGCTGAATGCGGTTAACAAGGTTGTCAAGGCCAAGGACAAGGAGATTTGTGACTTGAAGTCGACTGGTGGTGGTGGTTCGTCGTCGACGCGCGGCGGAGCTGCAAAAGCTCAAGGCTTCCATGAAAGCCTTGGTCGGTTAATAATGCATCATCTCAACAACGTAACATTTCCTTCTCTGTTTTCAGTGGCAGAATATATAATTCAGCAATTCCCCTAGCTAGACTTGCTGCATATTTGGATCATCTTGTAATCTTGCGGGCAGTTCAGGATATTTAATATCCCTTCTTATTACCACAATAAATAATAATAATTAGCTCGCGCGGTTTTGGATTAATCCGACCACAAACAGCTAAAAATTCGGATAGCATATTAAACCGCAAGTTTTATGGTGCAGTTCGGCCCGACCGAAAAAGCGATCTGGTGGGATTCAAAGCGGTTCGACCGCACCAATGCCCTGATCCCACGCATTTCTTTGTCGTTTAGTTCTATGGACATAGTGCGTTAGATGTGCCGTAAATTAATTAACTGGAATTAGTCTTGTCTGGCTGCTACTACCAAATTGAATAGAAAAAATAAAAGTTGAATAGATAATAGGAGATTATCACATTCCTTGATGGTTCCTCGATGCTTATTCTGAATGGCAATAGATAATAGAGTTAATAAACTTCCTCTATGGTTCGTCAAGACTTGTTTTTTAAATGGAAATCCAACCAGTCATTTCTGCAAGGGAAACAGCTCTGTGCTCCCCTGATCACTATAAATGGGCGCCTAATTCGTACCCTTGTTCTCATAACACACCACAGCTGCGATTAAGCCAGAAAATAGCTAGCTGCTAGCGAGGCGCGATGGGAAATCAGAGCAGGAGAACCTGTCTCCCTATTTACACCATTATTCCTTTGCTTCTGGTCGTCCTCTTGTCGTTGCCTGCAGGCAAGATGGCGCTGGTGGAAGCTGCCAGAGTTCCTGCTGCCACCTTGGGTCAGTACTATTTCATTACCCATATCATGTATCTTTTATCCTCGCTTCAATGAATCAGCTCTTTCTGTTCTGTACATATTTGTTTTTTGTAATGGCTTTTTATTATTAATAATGGATTAAGAAGTAGTTTGTGGGTTTAATTTGGTGCATGCAGTGGGGAAGAGTACAAGTGATGAGTCGGCGGCCAGTAGCTGGAGGATAGTGGCGGCGGTGCGCAAGTTTGGTTATACGGTAGTGGGAAGCAGATCAAGAACCAGCGGGCACGGCCATGATGTGTATGGTCGCCGCAGATGTTGCTACTGATCATTCATTTTGGCGAAGTGAGAAAGTCTTGGATCTCACGCTCGCCCTTGAACCATGCATATGTATGTAGCTCCAGTCTTAATTTCGTTGCTCGGACCTTTTGGTTTTCAATGGAGAAATTCGATCGTGATGAACCCACACCTGTATACGTCCAACTCTTTCGGTTTGTGTTTTTGAATGTATCAGCTTTATTTGTTTGTTGTAAAGGCTCCTTGTTTCCTTTGTGATCTTTGTTGTGAAATTCCTCATTCCTGCTGATCCAAAAAGTATTGTTAATAGATTAAATTGCCGCTCTACACTAGTTTTCTTATCATATTTGCCCCTTTATCGTAATCACAATTCCAAACATATGCCATTTTATTAGACTTTTCATTCAATATCTATGTTCACGATCCAACTGTGGGTTGACCTACCAGAAATGAGTAGAGTATGGTAACCAAGGATGTCAACTTGTGGGTCGATCCGCGGATTGACCCGAGTTGGCCCGGATCCGGCCTTGAAAATGGGTTAAAATAGCCCATTTGAGAGTTAGCCTGGAAATGGTCAAATCCGGTAAAACCCGGGAAAATCCGGGCGATTGGCCCGTCCGAGCGGGTCAGCGGACTGCTCTTTCCAAAGTGTCATTGATTTTTTACTGTTGAATTTAAGTTGATGTTATTTAAGTGTGTTGGAGTTTAATTATGGTTTTTTTTATGTTGTATTCAAAATAAGTACAATATAATGACTTTTTCACATTTTTGGGCTAAACCGAACTAAAACGAATGACCCATTAACTCTTGACCCACTAGCTCGATCGGGTCCGGGTCGACCCGCAAGTTGACAACCTTGATGGGAACAAATAATTTAAAAGTTAAAATTTACTGACTTTCTCCCTCCTATCGAAACCCTAAAGTTGAACCCAAACAAAAAATCTTGCTCCTCCATTGCTTCTGATAAGTTTCATATACTTCTGTATGTTTTGTGCATAGATGATTTATTTTTATTTAAATTGTGTTGAATTAGTTCATATTGACCATGAAATGATCCCAGTGTCACTACTAAGACTTTATAGCAATTTAAGTATACTGAAAATAAGATTGTGAACAAATAAAGTAGAGTGTCAAAATGCATACATGCAGTGGCAAAGCATGAGGGCACACCAAGGAAGACCCAACCCGACCTGAATCTGGGTTGGAATCTTCCCTCAACTTATAGTAGCTCTTATAAAGTAATGAGATGGGATAAGTTTTCTTGAAGTGAGCACTTGGATTTTGTTGCTCACCAATAGATAAAAAAGACGCAGAAAATTTAATGAATGGAGAGAGACTTTAGCTGCCATTAGCTTTCACTTGGAAATTGGAGCTGAAGGTGCATTGTTTAGGGAAGGGGGGGGGGGGATCTGTATGAAAGAAACTTAAAAGGGATATAGAACGTATAGGCGACACTTTTTGGATGCTAGTTTGAGAGAGAAAATCAAAGGAGAGAACTCTTTTTAACATACTTAGACTTAGATGCCCACTGCAATATTGTTACTGCCAGAAGCGACAAGGTAACTGCGGAGATCCCTATCCAGGTCAGACAGGGAGAAAAGAGACCTGCTTCAACACTTCCAAAAGATGAAGAAGAAATGGATTAAGGAGAGAGAGGTGTCTGCTCCTAAGCCACAACCAGTGGTGAAGGAGTATGTCTCTCAACTCCCCTTCCCTACTCGGTTGCACAAAGACCGACTAGAGATTGAGTTTGCCAAATTCATGACAATGCTGAAGCAGGTGGACATCAGTATGCCTTTCGTTGAGGCATTGTCGAAGATGCCAAAGTACGTGAAGTTCATGAATAATCTCATCACCAACAAGAGTAAACTTGGGGAGCTGTTGACAGTGATGCTCAACGAGGAGTGTTCTTCCATCTTGCAGAAGAAGCTACCAGAGAAGCACGAAAACCCTGAGAGTTTTACTATCCCTTGCATTATAGATAGCTTGCATGTAGGAAAGTCCTTGGCGGATTTAGGCTCTAGCATAAGTGTCATGACATATAAACTGTTTAAGAAGCTAGGCCTAGGTGAACATGGTAATACTAGGATGACCATACAGTTAGCTGATCGATCTATTGCGCATCATAGGGGCATTGTAGAGGACTTGATAGTCACGGTAGGTCCATTCGTATCCTGTTGATTTCCTGATTCTTGACATTAATGAGGATGGGGATGTGCCTTTAATTCTGGGTCAACCTTTTCTAGCAACCGACAAGGCGCTTATTGATGTGAATGATCCAAAGCTGATTTTGAGAGCTATGGATGTATAAATCACATTTTCTGTTTCTGATAATATGAAGCACCCCCAGTTCAATGATGATGTATATTATTGTGATGTGGTTGCTGATTTTGAGACCGCACGCACCATCATGAGTGCAGGTACTAATGATTTTCTCGAGCGTTGTCTTTTGCTATGGGGAGCAGGCATCATAGGAGCTGCAACTCGCGGAGCAGCCACGGAGTTCGATGGTGTCGTGATCGAGGGGCAAGGAAGCCTTTCAAGCCTATCCGTGTCTCGCACCATATCACTACATCACTAGAGGAGCCACCGGAACTAGAGCTTAAGCCCTTCCCCTCTCGTCTGGAATATGCATTTCTTTGGTAGGAGGAATAAGCTCTCGATCATCATTAGCTCGGAACTGACCCCCCGAGCAAAAGAGTAGTCTGGTGGCTCTGTTGAAGAAGTATGCATGGGCCATGGTGTGCAAGATCACTGATATCAGAGGCATGAGCCCATCCTTATGCTCCTAAAGAATTATGATGGAGGATGAGATTAAGCCAGTCAGGCAGCCACAACGGAGGTTAATTCCTAACTTGGAGGCATAGTTTTGGGCCGAGATTGTGAAGCTGACGGATGCCGAGGATCATTTTTGTTATATCTGATAGCCGTAGGGTTAGTCCCACTCAGATAGTTATGAAGAAAGGCGAGATGACTGTGGTAAGAATATATACAACAAATTACATTCATAATCTTAGGGATTAGGCTTTATAATTTAGATAACTAAGAGCTAGGGTTCACTCATCAAGAGTTAGGGTATAGTATCATGCCAAAAAATCCAGTTAATTCAAGGTCCAAATATTATTTTCTTACTCAGGGTATGATGTACCCTAGATTTTACCCAAGTTGTGATAAAAATCACCATATAATATATATAACCCGAGCGTTCATTTAATTTAAAAATAATAATTATGGACGGTTCTAATTGAGCGAAATATATTGAAGTGCAAATAACAAGCGTGAACACATGCATACAGCGTACGCTGTACGCCTGCGTTCACACTTGGTTTTTGCACTTCAACATATTTCGTTGAATCGAAACCGTCGGTTATTATTTTTTAGATTAATGAATCTTGTGGCTTGGGTTAGAGAATTAGAGACTGGGATTCACCCATTAGAGGTTAGGGTATAGTATCATGCCCAAAACTCTGGTTAATTCGTGCTCTAAATAGTAAAACTCGACGGACGTACAATGTACGACTAACGTACGCTAGCCTTTGCCATATATATATATGGTTGCTACTTCGGTGCACTCACTTTTTTGGGTGCATTAAAAGTGGCTTTAATAAATTAATTTTTTTACTTTAATTGGTAGTAATAGTCTAATATGATGATATAAGATATAATCACAACTAATCAATCTACTACCCTAACCCCTTAAACTTTAATTTTCAATCCCAACCCAAACCCATAAATTGTAAACCTAAACCCTACCCTAAATCCCTAAATCGTAAATCCTTCAAATGAAAGTAATATTGAATTTTATTTTTTTTTTTTTTTTGCAAATTCATGTGTTTTCTGTTCATATTATCACAAGCTATGATTGATACCATTTTGTTCATATTATCTAATATAGTTTTTTTATAATAAACTCTGCTACGCTTTATTAATCAGCACCAGTGGTTAGAGGTGTCAATCGGGCGGGTTCGGGCTGGGTTCATTCGGGTTGCGGGTTGGTCAGGTTGCGGGTCGATCGGGTTGCGGGTTCATCGGGTTGCGGGTTCATCGGGTTGCGGGCCAATCGGGTTGTGGGCCAATCGGGTGCGGGTCAATCGTGTTGCGGGTCGTGCGGTTCAGGTTGCGGGTTTTACGGACCAGAACATCGCGTTAGTTTTTAGTGATTACTAGTAAGTCGTAAATCGTAACTATATGAAGCTAGCACAATACTTGTAAAAAAAAGGAATCACTACTCAAAGTCAAAGACTCAAAGGTGGGGTTACAAAATTACAAAATTTTGGGGAAACATTACAGGGGGGAATCATTGGCGGGTCTCGGCGGGTGGGGGGAATCAAACTTTTGGGCAGTAGTATTGGGGGAACCGAAAATTTGGAGAGAAAAGTTTAAAAGTAGTTTTTTAATTTTTTAAAAACAAGTGAAATTGTTCATATAAATGTATAGAGAAATTGTTGGTTTAGCTAGTTAATTGTTTATATGATTTTTGTAATAAACTAAATTTTAAAATTTAGAAAAATTGTTCGGGGAATCGAAAATATAGGTATGGAATTATAACATTAATATGCGCATGAAATTATAAGATTGGTGTCAATAAAATAAATATCAACACAATTGCCGCACTGTAAAAGAATTCCAATGCAATTCATGTTATAGTGGAAATCTCCCAAATAATTTGCATCTACCGATTTTATTCCATCCTCCATAATTTGAAAATTTTGCTCCCCAATTTTTTGCCTCCATAGTCCTAAAATTTTACTTCTTTCAAATTCTAAAATTTGCTTTTGTGATTATGCCCCGCCATCCTAAGTCCTACATTTTCCTTTTTATCTTTAATTTTAGCATTTTATTTTATTTTTAGGAGACTATGAAGGCGGAAGCAAGCTCCAGTACCCTATGGACTTTTGTCCTCCAGAAACTGAATGTCATTGTCTCCACCCAAATCACTCACCACACATTTGGAGCCAATTTTTTATAATAACTAAATAATTAAGAGGAAAAAAAGTGGAAATGGGAAACTTTGGGCCGCATGCGTCAATGATCATTTCCTCATTACTTGAACCTACACAATACAACCAATTCAAATTATTATATTAGGAGCATATGTATTTGTCTCTAAATAGTAAATATATGATATGGGTATAAGTAACATTTATATTTGTCTCTAAAGACTATTAAAATTGTCTCCATATGATATAACTATAAGTGACATTTGTATTTGTCTCTAGATACTATTAGATTTGCGTCTATAATATATATATATATAAGAGGAGCATTTATATTTGCATCTAAAGACTATTAAATTTGTCTCTATATGGCATAACTATAAGCAACATTTGTAATTATCTCTAAAGACTATTAGATTCGCCTGTAGAGACAAAAAAAATTCACCTATTGAGACAAATAATATATTTGCCCCTAAAGCTTAGCTATAGAGACCACTACCACAATTGCCTCTAATTATTTGCTTCTATAGGCTGGTTTTCTTGTAGTGGATTCATCAACATATATTAACAAGAAAACTTGATCTTATTAGTTAGGATTTCGACTAATCGTGGCCAAACCATTAATACCATATACTCTAACCATATACCCTACAAGTCGACTCTATAACCTATACCCTAAACCCCTACTGGTTTGATTCATGAACATATGTTAATAAGAAAAGTTGATCTTATTAGTTGATTTTTTACTAACAGTGGTCAAATCATTAAGACTTTACACCCTAACCATATACCCTATAAGCCGACTCTATAACTTATACCCTAAACCCCTAATGATCTGAATTCTGATTGATGAACATGTGTTAATAAGAAAAGTTGATCTTATTAGTTATGATTTTGACTAATAATTGTTAAACCATTAATACCTTATACCCTAACCCATTAGACTAACCATATATCCTATACATCGACTCTATAGTCTATATACCCTAAACCCCTAACACTATGTTTCCGAAGGAAGGGAGGAAAAGGAGGGGAGGTAAAGGAAAATTAGGAGGGGAGGGGAGATGTGGAGGTGAAGGAAATTGGGAGGAAAATGTTGTTTTATGGAGGAAAGTATGTATTGGGAAGTGTCAAAAATATGTAATTTTATTGGTTATGTAATAGCAAAATAGTTTGATTGTATGTTCATATCCTCCTTATGAATTATGAATTAAATTTGTACTTTCTTTCTAAACCGCACCAGAAATTGTACCGGGAAAATTAGTGGTAGGGTATTTTGTTTTAAAACCATGACACAACTTTCTCGGTATAAGTATGACCTCCGGTACGGTTTCCATTAGAAGCGTAACACACTCTTATTTAACTTTTTTAAACTATTAGTAAAAAAATATTGCCCAATTAAAATATGACCGATATAGATAAAAATAAGTGATAAAAATAAACACTTCCCACTTTTTTTGGCTTTCACAATGCCGGCCAACCATATAAATACAGATTAAAAATATAACCTCTTGCATATATTCACAATAGCGCATTTATCTTTTCTTAGCAAAAACAAAAATTAAAAATAACATACTCATTTAAATCATACCTCGTTGGGAAGGAAAACAAAAAAATAATAAAGAAACCTATTCCACATTAAACAGTCTCATTGGACAATGAAAAGCAAATAAAAACAATAGAAACTTCTTCCTTCTCTCTTTCCCTCCAATTTGGAGGGCAGGGTGATACAGTACCCATTCATTCCCTTTTCCCTCCCCTTCCTTTCTTTCCCTCCTTCCCGAACAGAGGAAAGTGCATTGGAAACACAACTTTCCTTCTATCTTTTCCCTTCCTTGCTTTTCCTTTGTTAAAAAACAGAGTATAATGGTTTGATTCATGAACACGTGTAATAAAAAGCTCGATCCTTATTAGTTATAAGTTATTATTTTGATTTTTTGACTAATCGTGCCTAAAATATTAATACCTTATATCCTAACCCATTACACTCATTATATACCCTATACACCAACTAAAATAAGCAAGTAGTTATGTGTACTAAAATAAGCAACTTAAATCTTATAATTATCTTATTATGCTAAATTAATATTTTATAATGTTATGTGCACTATTAGGTTGATGATGTATCTAAATAAATATTTGATGATATTACATGCGTTAATAGGTTGATGATATATATTATTATACTATGTTCATAATTGATGATGTAATTATCAGGCTTTAGTGAACTAGAATTTCAAATGTCAACTTTTGGTTTATCTTCATCGGATTCCTTCTATTATAGTCGGGTTGCGGGTTGGTCGGGTTATGGGTTCGGGTTAGTTGGGTTGCGGGTTAATCGGGTTGCGGGTTGGTCGGGTTGCGGGTCGATCGGGTTGTGGGTTGGTCGGGTTGCAGGTCGATCGGGTTGCGGGTCGAGCGGGTTACGGGTCATTGACTTTTAGTCAAATCGGGTTGCTGGCGGGTTGCGGGTCGGATTGATCGGGCGGGTTACTCGGGTCGGGTTACATTTTGACAGCTCTACCAGTGGTTACATTATCCAATACTAACTGATCAACAAGATAAATCGATGGTTGATCGACCCAAACTATCGTCTCATTCCATCTTGTCTTCGTGTGTGCCATAATATGGGCGGCTGCATTTCCTTCCCTCGACACAAACTGCCATCTCCCTTCATTGACATGGGCAAGTTATCTTCTAATACTCCTGCAAATAACCCCGTTCTCATTTTGGAGGCATTCAACATTGTTCAACTATTGGACCAAAGACAACCAATCTGTCTCCAAAATGAACCGTGTCTCATCGCATTGCTGGGCTAGTCGAGCTCCCAATTCCGCCGCATACGCCTCGGCTGTGTCTGGCCGCATCTCACCTTGCATGTTCCTTGTTGCGGCTAGAATGAACTTCCCATCAACTCCTCTAATTACTACTCCAATCCCGGTACCTCCCTCCCGAAGAGTTTCCGCATCCGAATTGATTTTCACCTCTCCCGTTTGCGGCTTCTTCCATCCACCCCATTGAGCGGCACTGTTATTTTCCACTTCCACCTGTACTTTTTGATGAGCTCGATAGTCCTCCGGGAAATTATAAGCCCGACCTACAATCTCGTCTTCCGGAAGCTTCATGCCATTAAAGAGGTGCGCGTTACTTTCCTTTCAAAGGAACCAAAGAAGTACACACCATTCTTCAATATAGTTGGCTACTCAACTTGTTGGTTTTGGTGTTTTCTAGTATTTACTTAGCTTGTTGGATTTATAAAATATAAAATGGAATCCCAAACTAACGGATCTAACAAGATGACCAAGTGGGTTCCTTAATAAAAATCACAAGTAGTACCATTTCCTATCCTATCCATAATTTATTTACCCCATACATGGAAACATGGATTATTGGACTTCTCCAAACTCTTAACTCTCAGCTAATCAACATATAAAACAGCTAGTTGTGTCCTGCCTAAGTTCAGGTCCTTAAAACCTCTTTTTTAAGAAGAAACTGAAAGTCTTGTGATTGACTAACTCAATTTTAGGTAGATAGTAGGGAGTTATTAGTTAAATAGTTGTTAGGGGTATTAAGGAGACTACAATTAAATTAAAACAGGTTGTCTCTTTTCTTCAAAAACCCTAACCCGCCCACGTCTCTCTTTATTTTCGTCTGCTCATTATTCATCCCGCAAGCAGGTAGGCGAAACGATAAGTCACAAGTTCTTCCGGCCGTCGTCCCTAGTTCTCCGTCCGTCGTCTCGAGTCCCTTCTCCGTCCCGAGTTCTCCGGCCGTCGTCCCGAGTTCTCCGGCTGTCGTCCCTAGTTCTCCGTCTGTCGTCCCTTCTCCGTCCGGTTGTCGCCTGAGGTCTCCGTCTCGTCGTCCCTTCTCCGGCCGACGATTCAATTCCACCGACGCAAAGCACAGCAGTAATTGTTGCCGTCAGTCTAGCTTCCCTCCCGCTGAGATTTCCGGCAAGTGGTTCTACTCCAGCTTCTGTTCTACACCGTCGTCGTCGTGCCAGTCCACCATCACCGATTTCATCGACGTCGTCGTCGTCGAACCTTGTCCGTGATCTCGTTTCAACTCCCAGTCTACCTCGTCGGCGGCATTTTTAAGGTGTTTTTTCGTCGTCAAATTTATTTTTTTGTATTTGTGGGGTTTTGGCGTTGCATGGGAGGAGTAGTCGCTGCACAATAGTAGGTCGTTTTTAATTTATTTGGTGTCTATTATCAATCATTTCGTGGGCGTTCGCAGTCTTTTTTGTGTCAATTATTAATCAATCTGAGCTCGTTCTCAACCTTTTGGCATCTATTATTAATCATTCCGTGGGCGTTTATAAATTGTGTTGTGTATCCATTGTTAATCAATATGTGCTCGTTCTCAACTTTTTGTTCTCTATTATTAATCAATCTGTCATGCAAGTCAATTATTTGTGTCAATCAATCTGTGCACGTCAATTTTTCCGTCTCCAATTTTTATTTCATATTTGTGAGGTTTTTCGTCGCGTCGATGCACAGTAGTATTTATTTTTAATTTTTTTGGTGTCCATTGTTTATCAATTTGTGTTCGTTCTCAACCTTTTTCCTATCTATTATTAATCATTTGGTGGGTGTTTACAAACTGTTTTTGTCAACATTGTTAATCAATAAGTGGTCGTTCTCAACTTTTTGCTCTCAATTATTAGCGCATCTACACCCATTCTTAATATTATCAACTATATTATCATTTTTCTCAAGATCATTATCAATTTGTTAATCATGTTCTTCGGGAGGGGAGATTGGAGACAAAGGAGTCAATTCGTGCAGGATTTGATGTTGCTAAGTTCATTATCAGTTTTAATAATATTTAATCACGTTATCAACCCATAATAATATACATTTTTAACCGACCATACAATTATTATTAATTATATTATTGCAATTATTAACAGGAAACTAAATTGCTATCACAATGTATATTTCAAATTTTTACCCTCCTTTGTTAACATTTTCACGTTGCGCTATTAACATTATTTTCAAGTTCAGCCCGTTGTCAACCCATATAATAATACATAACTAACCGACCAGTGCCCTATCATTAATTTTATTACAAGAATTATTAACGGGTAAATCATCATTATCAATCCATATTATTACATCATAGAAACCGACCACGTGACTATTATCAATTACAATATTGCAATTATTAACCGGTAACTACATCATTTTGACGTTTCTTTGACAAATATTATTGTTGATACCGCCATTATCAACATTTTCGAGACGTCTACTATTACTAACCTCGTTAACGTTTTAACATTACGATATTAAGATCATTATTAACATTCACTGCCATTATCAACTCTTTTCCATCCGTTATCAACATTTTAACCTTACAGTATTATTATTATTATCATTACCAACCAATTTGAGACAATATCCCTAATACCTATCAATAATATCAACAAAAAACACCAGTAACGACAAAACAAAGAATGTAAAACGATATCAATTGATTGCAAAAATTTAATAATGTCATTAGAAGTCATTGTAAGAGGTCGTGATTTGCTAGTTATGAGCGTGTAAATTTGAATTGTTAATAAATATGTTGTAAATCGATGACAATAATGTTTTAAACATTAATAATGATGTTGTTCACCATTAATAATTTCATCATAAACGTTGGCGACGAAAATATAAATCGATCACAATTGATCCAAATTGTTAACAAAGTAATCGTAAAACATTGATAAGCATATTTAAATTTTTAATAATAAAATTTATATTATTAATTATTTATTTCATAAAATTTAATAATACTAGTGAATATATTAATAATGCTAGTGAAAACATTAATAATGCTATTGCAAGTCGCTACAGAGAGAGTAGATATTATTTATCTAGAATTATATTTTTAAATATTAAATATTAATTTCTGATTTCTATTTTTTACTTTTAATTTTTGTATTAATTAGCTGCAGAATTAAAGAGGGAAGTTGAATTTCTATTTTTGATTTTTGTATTAATTAGGTGGCGAATTTAATGTACATGTTTCTTTTATTCCTTCTGTACCCTTTTGGGTAGTTAATCAATTATTGTTAGTGTTTACCTCTCTCCTTCTCCTATTGGCTAGAATGGATTTAAGATACTCCTTAAGAAATGAGGTTTAAGGACTGGATCCAACCCGGTTGTGTCCTTGGAGTTTCATGGATTAATAGAGTTTCAAGGGTATTTTTTTCGATAAGAAACTTTATCAAAGAGTAAGCAAATTAATAAAAAAAAGTCACATAGTTGTCTAAATCTTAGAAAGTTTTCCTTGCTCATCGAGATCATGTTATGTGATGCCAATTGAAAATTAATGAAAGCATCGCACAGTTGAGATATCTTAACGATGTAGGTTGTATTCCAACAAATGAATAATCCGATAATAACAGTATGAATTTGTTAGTGTGACTTACAAGTCATCGTGACTTGGAGAAAATGGTTCATCAATTTTATTAAGTGGTTGACCACTTCCATCAAGTTTTCGATTCTTTTAAAACGAATTATAAAACACACTTATGTAAAAATGGACATATAAAACTCCTTACATATGCATGTTGACCAAGCATGCACACACGCTGACCAAGCGAGCAAGAGATGAGATTAAGAATTACAAATTTGTACAATAACCAATTTTGATACATGTACCACATCCAACAATTACACTTCTTGTAACCCTTCCAAAGGTAATGTTTGATACAAATACGATATAACAAATTGTCAGGGAAACCGTATGGAAGAGAACTATTGAAGGCGTGATTTGATCACTCTCCTTAGAGTGTTTATTTGCCCCCACTACTTCGTTGCTGGTAGGATTTAGGCAAACCACCCCCAGGAGTCCCTCCAATCAAAGTCAGAAAGCAGCACATTTCGTGACTTCTGTGTTTGTGTTTTTGGAGAAGGAAAAACAAGGAGAAGAAGATGATCGTTGGAACAGAAATTCGGCTGCAGACTTTTATAGTGAAAACGGCAGTTCCCTTTCGAAGGGTTACGTCGTTTCACAAAATTCAAAATCATATAATTATCCGGATTAATTAATTAAAATAATTCCGGTAATTAATTAGCCAAAAATTCAAATCCGAACGCGTCGCGCAAACGTGCTAAGTGCGTAGTGCGATTTAATATGTCCAATTAAATAGCCCACACTTTTTCCAAAAGCCCACTAACCACTTTATCCAATAACTAAAGTGGAAAGCAAACTTAAAAACAACTTGCACTTTCCTTCTCCCACCAATGTGGTATTTCCTTTACTCTTTGACTACTCTAACAATCCCCCACTTAGTCAATAAGAGTCGAGAATACCTGCCTCGAACAAGTAACGCATAAATAAAGGTATCTTTTCGATTTGAACCTTTACTTAGTGTAAGCATCTCAAAGTTCAAAGCGAATCAATGACGGGCTTGAGCCTAGGAGTCAAGGTCCAAAGCTAGAACCGGAGACACCACACACGTACTCGTCTCTTCTCTAAAACACAACCACCAACAAGGGTAGCACTATTATGGCCATGTGCTTATCCTGTTTCATGAGCATATACAAAAGTTGACCTTTACTTTCGTTAGAGCGGCACCACTCCAAATGCTCACATAGGTGACATTCCAAATGAACGTCATTAAGAGTTCTATAACTCACCCTTCTTACAACTAATTTACTTGTACAATAAACTAGTACCCAGTTAGAGTAACTTGTTATTACCACATTGAACCTTTTAATTAGGGAATATCTAAAGAAAAGGTTGGGTTTCCATTACTTCTAACTATACAAAAGGTCTCAATCCCATCCTTTGGGATGTCTCATAGATCATGCCTAGGGATGGCAAAAATATCCGTAATCGTGGATATCCACCCGAATCCGACCTAATCGGGTAGGGTAAAACCCGCACCCGAAGAACTTTTAGTGGGTATGGGTAAAACCCGAACCCGAATATTGTGGGTAATGGGTGGGCATGGTTTTTTCACTATCCAACCCGAACCCGCCCGATTATACATATGCATATGTATTTTGTCTAGAAATAATCAATATTTTTCTCTAACATATTTTATATTTAGCATATAAATATAATATTTTTTATGAAATTGTTTTATTTTAATTAGTTTTCTTAATTCTAGTGAATTATTGTTGTACTTTTCTTCTTACGTAACGTGAGAATACTCGTGAATATAAACATATTGGTTGAAGTTATAAAGAGAAACTATTACCCATGGATAACCACGGATACCCGAAACCCG